CCCCCGTGGGGCCGCACGCCCCAGGGCGCCCCGGCCGGGCCTAGCGTCTCACTTTCTTCTCCCGGGTCTTCCTCTCTTCCCTCCGCCTCTCGAACTCTTCAAAGGAGATTTTCCCTTCCAGGTAGTCGATGAGTTCTGGACTGAACCCCGACATAGCTGCAGACTCGGCTCAGGCGGCCCCGAGACAGAGAAGCAAAGGGCAGCAGCCACGACCTGAACTGGCGTACCCGGAACGCTAAGAAGACGGACGGAGGGACAGACCTGACGTCCGCCTGGAAACACGCCCGGCCGGCTCTGCGGTCGCCGCGCTCGGGTTCCGGGCGCCTTGTGCGCCTGGGCCTTCCGGGGGCGGGGCGGGCCCAGACGCGCTCCAGGCCTGCCTCCCTCGGCTCCCCACCCACCTTCGTAAAGCAGGGGGGAAGCAGTTGGAGTCAGACATTGTTACCCACCTAGGCCATCTTGGGCGTATTGCATACTTCTCTCAAGACAATCCTTAGGAGTGGACGTTACTGCTAACACTACAATCCTGTGTAGGATAAATACTAAAATTATTTTATTTTCGGTTTAAGCACCAACTCTACCACTGATCTATGACCATACTTCTAACAACCAGGATTTGAAATCTACTCTCTGACTTCAAAGCCATGTGTGTTAATTATGATGATGCAGTTTTCCCTCAGTGGAACTATTTTCAAGTCCTACACACTTCCCTGGGTTGCATGTTTTTGCTTGTCCTATTCTAGAAACACTAACAATAAACATGTTGAGAACAGCTTTAGTTGTTCTATGCCAGCTTGGAAATTTGTGCTCAAAACACATCTGTGGGGTGAACAAATGCAGCAGTAGTACTCACTAGTCATTATGCTGAAAATGAACTCGTGGGTGGAGATGGGAGGGAAAAACTGGTTGAGAGTGAACGAAGTGGTGACACTGTCCAAAAAGAAATGTACTCTTTATCTGATTTATATAACTATGAATCCTCTGTACATAACCTTTATAATAACAATAAAAATAAATGAGCTAAAAACACATTTTAAAATCATATTATATAGAAATGTAAGTGCCTTTGGAATCTGGAGCTGGGGAATTGAGTTAATAGTCAGCAGAAGGTAGAGACAAATTATAGAGAGGTTATCATTTGGCCATCTTTATAATATTCCAGGTGAAGTAACCCAAGAATGGCTAAATGAGGAGCTATGACCTGCAAAAGCAGCACTGCCAGATGAAATAAAAATATCCCACAGCTAGGAGTCATTCCTTTTCTAAAGAGAAAGGAGCTTCGGAAGCTTACCTGGTATGTGTTATGGCATTCTATAGAAAACACTCATAGGAACTGTCTCCTGAGGTTTTTCTAGGCAATTAGGGAAACTATATCTAAGAAGTCAAGATTTCTGCAGTCCTAACTCTCACAAAGAAAAGAAAAGAATCAAAATTAGGAAGGGTGGTTACCTGGAAAGAAGAAAATATCTCTAAGACCCAAATGGCTTAATTTGTTTTATTGTTGACTGTCTGGCATATGAGAATAACAAGTCTGGAGATACAGATTCATGTTAAAGAAAATGGGAGTAATGAATGGGGGTATAAGAGAAGTTGATCTGATCAGGAATATCTTCATGACATGAAAATATTTTTGAGTAGTTAAAAGTGTAGCAGAAGACGGGCACTGATGGTTCATGCCTATAATCCTAGCTACTCAAAAGGCTGAGATCTGAGGATCACGGTTCAAAGCCAGCCCCCACAGGAAAGTCCGTGAAATTCTTATCTCCAATAAACCAGGACAAAAATGGAAGTGGGGCTGTAGCTCAAGTGGTAGAGTGCTCCCCTTCAGCTGAAGAGCGCAGGGACAATGCCCAAGCCCAGAGTTCAAGCCCCACAACCAACAAAAAGAAAAGTGTAACAGAATATCTTAAAATTTTTAATCTTCTTGTTTTCCTTTTTTCTTCACTTCCTGGTAGTGATTTGTCCCTTGATGAGTCAGAGGTATCCACATTACCTTGAGATGAAACCAAATTGTTAAAGCAGTCTTAAAAATAGCAAGAAGAAACATTTTGGTCTTTCAGACTGATTTTTGAGAACAAAAATGGCAAATCTGAAGGAAGCAGAACACGGAACGCAGGAACAGTATTAAAGAACATGCACAAAGAGAAGAAATTATTCTGTTCTTTCTCCTTGCCTAAAGGAGGGGGCTTGGAGAAGTTATGGTACTTTGCTTTCCTGTAGGCTTTTGTCTTTACTGAAAAAGCTAGTGGCAGCTGTCTCTTGGGCTTCATCATTATAGACTAAACATCCTTGAAAGTGAAGGTATTGTCTCCTTCCAGGAGCAGATTTGTTTTTTGACCAGTATAATAAAAATAATGTTTCCTTCCAGGGCATGTTTGTTAAGAGTCCTATTATAAGACTGGGGTCTCTGTGTTTGCAGTTCCTCAACTTTGGCACAAACACATTTGTTTCCAGCAGAGCCTTGAACCCACACTCACATGCCTCTTCCATACCTAGGGAATAAGGAGAACCCACACAAAATAAACAGCCCATGATGCCTTCTGCACCTGAGACAAAAATCAATCGTCTCTGACTCAGCAGTCTCATTCTTTGCCAGGATCAATAGAATGCAGAAAACTAGTTTGTAGCTTGAAGGTAGGCTAGAACCTCACACTCTTAACACTTCTTGAGAACACTGGGTCTAGGGCAGAGAACAAAAGGCTATGATCTGGGAATGGGGTCCTCGTTGGAGAGGAACTGAGTCAGTCTAAAAGGCATCCAAGGTCCTGAATGGAAAGGTTCCACAAGCCCCCTGACAGCCTGCAAGATGTGCTGATTTTTTTCTATTCGAAGAAACGCTACAATCCTTTTGTTTTCTTAGCTATACTTGTCTTCCTCACGGGTTTAGGAATGTGTGCAGAGAGGATTTGAATGTCAGAATGATGGGGCAGATCAGGACATTACTAACACGGTGTCTAAGAATTGAGTATCACATAGTCACATATGTTGACCATAAAAGCCTTCAACTTCCAATGGCAGCATTGCTATAATGCCATTCACAATGAGCAACCATGACGAATATGCAGGTGCATGGCCCTGTCCTAAGATTCTGCAAGAACTGATGAGCATTCCATTTGTGAAAATCTTGACACCAGAAAAGGGGTGGTGATTAGACAGGGAAAACCAGTTGTTAGTCTTGAATGGAACTCTGCAATGATAAGACACTCCTTATGACTCTGACATAAATTTGAATAACCTATGCTTTTATGATTGTCAGTAATTACTTTAAAATGGTGTGAGAACATATCAACTAAAAACAGCTTCTCCTATCATGTGAAGGATGGCAGACTAGCACATATCTACTTCATTTTGCCAAGTGTTTACTGAATACTTGCTGCATGCTACACTGCTCTCAGTGCTGGGTAAGTAAAGGTGAATTACACGAGGTCTTTGCTTACAAAGACCTCACCACCTCCAGGAAAAGCAGATACATATATAAAAACTCACTATCACAGAATGTACTAAACCAGACACAAAATTTGTTCTTGCATAAATATTTTATTGTTGAGATTCCATATCAATAATCCACAAAAAAGACTCAGTAAACTACTTTGAAATGCAGGCTAGTCACATTAGGACACTGGCAGTTGTGTTCAGTGCCATCTTCCCTTTGCTTGAATCACAGAAACGATTTCAGTATTTCCATGATGTGGAAAAAGTAGCTATGTCAAATAAACATGCGAATCAGAATAATTCATCATGAGTAATGGCATGGAGAAGAGAATGGCTGGAAAAAGTAGATAATTCTCCACTTTCTTTTTATTCTTGAGGAGAGTGTGTTGAGGACTGAGGTCTGGGGCGTGGCTAGGATATTTAGCATAGACCGTGTCCAACTCTGAGCATCATAGACTGAGAGTATCTCCCAAGAGACCTTGGCAGCTCCAAGAATCCTATTCTGTGCTTTGTTTCAATTCCATTGTGGATATTTACCATCCTCATTTGTATGAAATGAACACAATGAAGTTTCTCAATAGCATATAATAAAAAGTGGGAATACATACTGGTGTATGGTTATAGAATGAAAAGGCTCTTCAAAATCAGGCCAATCTCTCCAAAATATATGCATACATATGTCTCAAAGTTTTGGCAATTTATATATCAATATAGAAATGTAGAATTAAATCATTACAAATTGGCAAACACAGAATACACACACACACACACACACACACACACACACACACACACACACACACACAAGATTAGCCTTAACCATGGTGGAGTTTTTCTACTGAGAAGCTTCTGCTACAGTTCAAAATGGACAGACACCTGGAAGAAAAGAAAGCAACTGTTACAATGAAATAGGAAAGAGAGTCTACCTACGATCAAAGCTAAGACCACCAAGTCTGATTTCAAACTCAGAGATGTTAAGGACGTAATTATGTAATTATGAAAACTACTCCAAATCAGACTTTTGCTTCTTTCCAAATCAAATACCTCAAGTATTATAGTAGTGTATACTAGATACCTTCTCAGTGTCCTGCCCTTAACCATTAGCCCATCTCTGCTCACACAAAAGTATTTGTCTGACACCTCCTAGGAAGTAGAAATTAGAAGAGATGATTTATAGGTGGACAAACTGATGCTGACAAGTAACTTATCTGCTTTACACTAAGGGATTGTGAGATTAGTTCTTTATTTAGCATCGGATAACCTAGGGCCTGAAAGTAAAAATAATCATGGGGAACCATTAACACCATTATGTTGATTCCATCTATCTTTTCATGTTAAGTCACTATTCAACTTCATACTCCACTTGGTAAGTCACATCTTTATTTTAGAATAGTAATTACTTATAAATCATTAGTAGTTAAGAGAACTACTAATGAAAACTAGCTCACAAGTGTAATAATGTACGGCGCATGCTTTATCACAATTTATCTGTCTAATGGTGGGAGAATAAAAGATTCCAATTGTGATTTATCTCCTTTTGTTACACAAACAAACAGCAGAAGCACTAGAATCATAATGTGTTTGCTTGGAATACCCCCATAAACCTACTTTAAAAAATAGTATGTACTAGCTGGGTGCTATTCAGGTGGCTGAGATCTGAGGATCTAAGTTTGAAGCCAACCCAGAGAGAAGTCTATTAACCAGTATTAACCAGAAGAGGTGTGGCTCAAGTGGTAGTGTGCTAGACATATGCTTTTTAGCCAAGTGAGAGTGTGAGGTTCTGAGTTCAAGCCCTATTACTGTCATAAGTAAGTAAGTAAACAAATAAATTTGGTAAGAATTATAAAATAATCATAAAGTCCACACTTTAACATATATATGCATTTTTACTTTTTCTCTAAGCAAGGAAATTCAAGTTTGAATATATATATATATATATATATATATATATATATATATATAAACATACAGTACTTTCTAAAAGAATCACTCCTTTGTGGATATTGTATTCTTTATAGCCAAAAGGGAGTGAAAAGGAGAGAAAAAACAAATATGAAAGGACTAGACTATAGAATTCCAACCATGTGACACTTGGAAAAGAAGAGTCACTAAAAAGATTTATGTGGCCCAGAGGCTCTGTGGAAGTGAGCAGCACAAGGGACTTGGGGGGCGATGAAATTGTTCTATGCAGGGGCTGGGAAGGTGGCTCAGTGGTAGAGTGCTTGCCTTGCATGCCTGAGGCCCTGGGTTCGATTCCCAGCACCACATAAGCAAAAAGAAAAAAGCCGGAAGTGGCGCTGTGGCTCAAGTGGTAGAGCGCTAGCCTTGAGCTGAAGAGCTGAGGGACAGCACCCAGGCCCAGAGTTCAGGCACCATGACCGGACCCAAAAAAAAAAAAAAAAGAAAGAAATTGTTCCATGCATACTTTCAGATGGGTGCATACATTATGCATTTGACAAATGCACAGAACTGCATTACTTGCGTTAGGCAAGCATGAACCCTAACAAGGTAAACTATGAACTTTTGTTAATATTCATGTATCCATAGGGACTCATCATTTATAACAACTGTACCAAGATAATAAAGATGGTAATAATAAATGGGAAAGCTGAAGGGGTGAAAGGGCGGGATACATGGACTTTCTTCGTATTGTATTCTTCTCAAGTTTTTTCATACTATAACTTCTTTGAAAAATACAATTTATTTATTTTATTTATTTTTGCCAGTCCTGGGGCTTGAACTCAGGGCTTGGGCACAGTCCCTGAGCTCCTTTTGCTCAAGGCTAGCAGTCTACTACTTGAGCCACAGTACCACTTCTGGCTTTTTCTGTTTATGTGGTACTGAAGAATCAAACTCAGGGCTTCATGGTGCAAGCCACATTCTCAGCCCTATTATTTTATTTTGCTTTGTGCCAGTTCTGGGACTTGAACTCAGGGCCTGGACACTGTCCTAAGTTTTTGGTTGAAGTTCTTGTTCTTATGGCTTTGAATCTTGATCCTCAGATCTCAGCCTCAGGCATGAGCCATAAGCATCTAGCAATAAAATGTATTTAAAATACATGTGCAATCAGTGAAAAGAAAAAAAGAAACATTCTTTTAACTTTTATTCCCTATTTAATCCAATTGTTTCAGTTGTTGTATTCATATTTAATTTTGGATATAGGTGAGAGTATACACTAGTTCATTAATTTAATAATTGTATTGAGAGTGACAATTTTACCATTTTAATATACTTCCTCTAGAAAATATGCTTTAAAAATCATAACTAGCATTTCTTTTTAAAAAGTTATCTTTAAGGCCAGGCTCTGATGGCTCATACCTGTAATCAAAGATACTTAGGAGGCTGAGATCTGAGGATCTTGGTTCAAAGCCAGCCTGTGCAGGAAAGTCTATGAGACTCTAATCTTTAATTAGCCACCAGAAAGCCAAAATTGGAGGTGTGGCTGAAGCAGTAGAGCCCTAGCCTTAAGCAAAAAAATAAAAAAAAATAAAAAAGCTCAAGGACAGCACTCAGGCCCTGAGTTTAAGCCCCAGCACAGACAATGAAAAACCAAAATTATCTTTAAGTAGTTGTACAAAGGGGTTTCAATTCAACAAATGAGTATATAAGTACAATATAACTTGATAAATGTCAATCCCCCATCTGCCCTCTTTCCCAACCCTACCCACACTCATTTTGTTGGTTCCATGTTCACATATGTACATCGAATACCATGACTTTTCTTCCACTTTTCCTTTCCCCATTTGTCTACTTCCCCTTGACTTTTCCTCAACCCCCCCCCCAAATGTGTTTCAGCTTCCTGATATTCATTTTGTTAAGCTGTTAATCTTTTGTTTAGAGGACTTATACCATTGGTATCCTCCCCTGACTATACCATACTTTAGTTGATTTGCTTATGTATATATTCTTATGACCCTGCATATTCACACATGGTTATAATTTAGATCTAACTCCACATATGAGAGAAAAAAATGAACCTTTTGTTTCTCTGAAATCATAATTATAATTTCTTTAAAAAACAAACAAAACAACAACAATAGACATGTTAGGCACCTGTAATTCTAGCCTCTGAGGATTATGATTCAAAGCCAGTTTGGACAGGAAAGTCTGTGAGACTCTTATCTCCACTAAACTACCAAAAAAGCAAGAGGTGGAGCTGCGGCTCAAGTGGTAGAGCACTAGCCTTGAGCACAAAAGCTCAGAGACAGCCCTGAGTTCAAGCAGGACTGGCACACACACACACCACACACACACACACACACACACACACACACACACACGACTATAAAATATCTGACCCAAAGCCACATATTTAACAATAATGCATATAATGAGAAATAAACATCCATTTCTATAATGAAATAAAACCATTTCCCAAAGAAATGTTTATTGGAATATCCAACTACTTAAGAGTTGTATGTTTGGGTAGATCCTGGGGTTAAAGTAGCAGCTTTTACCTGATCTCAGAGGAAACTTTCAGCCTTCAAGGTGTTTAGGGAAGGAGTTTTTCTGCTCTTCATAATCTGCAAATGCAGCAGCAATCTGCTCTGATTGGAAGGACAGGGGCCTGGGATTCTCACTCATGGAGAAAATATTTGGAAACTTCCCTAGATCAAGACCTCTGCCCTTAAAATATGCCTGAAGGCTTCTGAAAAACTGAAGAGAGAAAGAAAATGGTCAACATCATGTAGCAAATGAAACCTCAAAATATTCAAAGTTGAATGTTTTCCCCTTCTCTTTTCCTTCTAGAATTGAATTTAAGTCTGGTCTAGGTAGCTTATAGTTGAAATTTTTTTAAAAAAAGGAAAAAAGAGAAAAGTATAAGGTTTAGCTTTTTTTCCTCCCCCACCTCTGTCCTTACCTTCTTCTTTCTGATATTTAAACCCTCAAAAAGACAGATGATCCATCACTCTTGGTGAAAATCAAGAGTGGATATCCATTATTCAACAACACTGTAGGCACAGAATTCAGGGTAAAGCATCTCTGAATACTCAAGTCAGAGAAGTAGCTAAATGCCACAGTGATCAGATCGGGTCTCCTTTGATGAAGGGTTTGTCCCAGTCCCTGCCTGCTGCAGTGGTTTCTTTTCTGAGAAGAGCTTTCCAGATTCATTTTAGGAAATGAACACAAAGAAGCTGTGCACAGAGCACAGCCCAGTTTGTTTTTTAATCTTACAGTTATGTTTGTATTTGTATGCTTATTGTATTTGTTATATGTTCTAAAGATTTGGGCTGATTTATTTTCTATTTTTTAGGAAACTGCATGTGGAAAATAAACAGTAATGATGCAGGATCAACTTTCAATTTCTTGCAATTGTGGTTTGTAAACAAGGTTATCTCGTTGAACAAATAGAAATTCCTCAGTTTCATTCTGTCTCTGTCTCTCTCTGTGTGTCTTTCTCCCATCAACTGCCTGTCTCTCATACTAGAGATAAATCTCAAGGCCTCACACACATTTGGCAAGTGTTTACCACTGTGTTATATCCCCTAATAATTACCATTGATTCTGTAAAGTATTAGAAATACCATAAAGTTCTCTCTCTCTTTCTCTCTCCTCTCTCTTCTCTCTTCTCTCTCTCCGGTCCTGTTCTATTGGGAATCTTCTCCACCCCATTTTCTCCTCTCCACCATGCTCCAGAATACAGAACCTATACTTGCAGTTCCCCCTGCACCCACCTACATGCCTCAGCTGTGTTCTTACCAGTTCTCTGTTCCTGGGGTTGCTGAGTGGCTTCCATTTGTCTTCATTTCTCAGTGTGGCTCCATGCACATGGCTAGTAAACACCAGGGCAGCACACAGCAGCAGGAGGTGTACATTGGCCATGATTCAAGGAAGCTGAATAAAAGGAGAGACCAGAGGACTGACAATGGTCATTAAGAGACATCGTCAGAAAAGAGAAAGAGGAACCACGTGTAAAGTCAGACAAGAAAGAGAAATCATGTATCAGGTCACAAATTTTACAACCATCTTCTTTCCAGATTCACTGAGGCTCTCCAAATTCAACTGGTTAGCTTGAGGCATTTCGTTTTTATGATGATGATAAGATGATAGTGAGGAGCAAGGAAATTCTGAATATGACCTAGAAAATTTGGGGTATGTCTTTTTATCCATGAAAAAATGCACACTTTATTATCTCCAAGGAAAGTGCAAATTTTAAAACAAAACCAGAAAAATCAAAACCTTCCATTAACAGTCTTTACAGTCTTTTAAAAGAGAAAAATAAAAAGTGGGAGAAAAAAAGACTTCAGATATCCTAAAGTGAGAAATGCACACACACACACACCCTGAGTCAGTCAATCAAAAAGACAGACATCCCACCCCAATGCAGATAGGGACAGTCTTCTTCCCTAAGCCAAAAGAGAGACAGAAACCCAAAGCGCAGACAGTAAGGCTTACCAGGAGCTGGGTTTTGGCTGGCCCTTGTAGGTCAGCCTGCCTACGGTCTGCAGGAAGATTTACAGGTACTTATACCAGGGGATGGGCTGCAGGTGGGAGTCACTGACGTGAGCAGAGGGAGTTCAGAAATAATGATTCCATTTCCTTCCACGGCACAAAGACCCTTGTGTCAGGTGCTGAGGCTTCTACAGGGGTAAACTAGGTATCTTGTAAGTGCAGCAGCCACTTCTGAACCACTGGGCATTGTGTGTGTGTGCGTGTGCGTGTGTACATGTCTTTAAATAAAACCCACAAGACATTTCCACATAGCAAAGTGGCTTTTTCCTTTTTCACATGTAAGAAAAGTTTTGTACAGAGCAGCTGGGACTATGATGATGATTAGCCCACCTAATAGAATGTTCTTCTGGAGATATGAGTTTTCAAAAGGACAGCATTATTTTTTGAACAGGTAATTCTATTGCAAGAGATAAAAAAATTGCTTTTCAAAAAAACTTCCATGTTATATTTCTTCTGAGAATCTCTAGAAGCTTTCCAAGTTTGAAATAGTGACACAGTTTACCACAATATCCCATTCAGAAGGAGCAATAAGAGATCATGGGCTTCATGGAAAAAAAGAATTACTATGCCTACAGTATCCCTGTGCTGAATAAATGCCATCTGCAGAAAATGGTAGGGTCGAGAAATTGGACTTGATTAGTTGTATAGTTGCTTTGGTTCCAATGATTCAGAACAAAATTCAGGACAAGCTCCTTGAAGAGAAGGCTGGTAATGGGGGCTAGAAATAGAATGTCTACTTATGGTATCAGACTTGCTGTCTTGACCTTGGACAAGTGATTCCAACCTTCATTACTTCATTTCCTTTCATTATACAGACACAATCTCCTCTCCTCTCCTCTCCCCTATCTTTTCTCTTCTCCGTGTATATTTACACTGTATTCCAATAATTTTTTCTTTTCTTTTTCAACTGAGGCTTAAGTAGCTGAGGCTGGTTTCAAATTGATGATCTCTTGCCTCAGCCTCCCACATACTGGAATTATGGATGTGTGTGTGTGTGTGTGTGTGTGTGTGTGTGTTTTACTGAAATGAACTTTTTCACAAGAAATCTTTGACCAACTGCTTGTTAGGTGCCAGGTGTTGAACTAAGCTTTGAGGACAAATTAGAAAGATGATAAATGAGCCTTTTCCCTCACTGATCAAAGAGTAATGGCGCACAAACTTTAATTGAATCACTTAACATACATTGCACAGATACAAATGATCTTTTCTACTAAGAGAAAGTGGAGAATGAGTTACGTGATTCAGAAATGGAGCCTGACACACTAAAGCAACTGCAAATCAGTTTGTGTTCAGGAGATGATGAGACCAAGGGAGCCTGAGGAGAGTTGGGTTGCAGAGGTGGTTAGATGATGATCCTTCTATGCAAGCAATGCTACATGATTAAAATATCTGAAAGGATCTAGATGGGCTGATTGGACTGGCATTTTAAAAAAAAAATCCTCTGGCTGCAGTTCGTGAGATCTCCTAGCAGCGACCGGGACTGTGCAACTGGATAAGCAGAGCTGAAGCTCCCAGGAGAGGTCTGAGAAGGAAATAGAAATAGGAAAGAATTGTTGATGTAGAAATGGACCAGCATGCTTAGTAAAGTTCAGGAAAACCATGGCGGGGGGGGGGGGGAAGAGGCACCTAGGACTTGAGCTTTGAGACCATTGAACATGTAACAGCCCTATCAGGGAGTCTACAAAAGAGAATCTAAGGGTGGGGGCGGGGGGAATCAGGATAAGATGGGAGAGAAGAATGACTCAGAAAGGGACAAAGTTAGATAAAAGTGGAACTGGAAAGGGCTGTGGGACATCAGGGCTGTGTTGGCAGAGGGTCAGACAAGAAAGGAGTGGAGAGAGAGGAAGAATAGGGAATAAGAGCTCTTGAAAAAGAACCAGAGAGGGAAGAGGAGTCAAGGAACAGTATGATTGTTTTGTCTCAACTTTTAAAGACAGGGCCTTCATATGTAATAAAGGCTGGTCTCTCCCTGCCTCAGCCTCCCAAGTTTAGGATTATCATTGTTTTACATGTTAACAGACTAGAGATTAGAGATGGGGGTATGAATTAGAGCCACTGGGCTCAGTGAAGAAAAAATACCATCGAGTCTCATTACAGCACGCCTATCCAACCTTAGGACTTGATGTCAAAGTATCTCTTAATATTAACCCCCCCCCCATATTTGCCAGTTCTGGGGCTTGAACTCAGGACTTAGGTGCTGTCCCAGAGTCTCTTTGCGCTCAAGGCTAGTGTTTGGTAGCCACAGTGCCACTTTCAGCTTTTTCTGAGTAGGTTATTGGAGATCAGAGTCTCACGGACTTTCCTGCCTGGGTTGGCTTTGAACCAAGATCCTCAGGTTTCAGCCTCCTGAGTAGCTAGGATTACAGGTGTAAGCCACCAGATTCCAGCTGTATTAAATTTTTAATGAGATTATAGCAAAGTATCTGCACTGTACTCTTTAGACAATGTTCCTATCACCAGTGCTGAGAATGTATTTTTTAAAATAGAAAAACCAGATTTTCATTGGCCTGTAATTTCTAGTTTAAATTTCACTTAATAGTATAAAAGTACACCCTACTTCTTCCTTTTTTAATTTGTGCATGTGATCTGCAATGGGGAGATTACCTTGATGGTCTGTATGTTCCTCAAAGCAACCAGTGTGATCCCGTCCTTACAAGAGAGATTCCACAGACACACTGCAGTGATTGGGGTATGAAAACAGAGAAGAGACCCGAGGATGCTGGCTTGGAGGACTAGAGTGATGCAGCCACAAGCCAGGGAGTGCTGGCAGAGGATGGAAGTGGAAAATGGAGAGGCACAAATTCTTCCCTGGAGTCTCCAGAGGTAACAAGGCCCTGCCCTTGCTTTTGGCCCAGTGAGACTGATTTTTGGGAACACTTCTTTTGTTGTTTTAACGGATCCACCCAATTTTTGATATTTTATAACCAAAGGCAAAGAACATGGATGTGAAGATTTCTGATTTTCACGAGGAGGGAGGTGCATTTACAACTTCCACCTACTTTACAACTTCCACTGAATATACATACCACAGGGAGATCCAAATTCTCTATTTCTTCTTGAGAAGGTAGACCTTCTGTCATTCAACTTATAGAATCATGGATTTAGACTGAAATGTCTCTCCTGAAACTTAGTATAAGTATAGGCTTATATATGGTTTCACCAATAAATCTTTATTTTTGTACCAGTCCTGGGGCTTGACCTTAGGTCAGGGTCTGGGTGCTGTCCCTGAGTATTTTTGCTTAACGTCGCACTCCACCGCTTGAGACACAGATCTACTTCTGGCTTTTTAGTGGGTAATGGGAGCTGAGTGTCAAGGACTTTCTTCTCTGCATTGGCTTCAAACCATTATCCTCAGATCTCAGCCTGCTTGGTGGCTAGAATTACAGGTGTGAGCCACCAACGACTGGGTTTTTAAAAGAATTTTTTTTTCTCTTTGATATAAAAGGAGTGAGAAAAAGAGTCCATTTCAGACTACTAAATGAGGTAAGACCTTACCCACGAGTCATATAATTTTGTAATGGACCACATATTTTAATTCATTAACAAACTTATTTAAGTATTTGGGAAAATCATCATTCTTTAAAATTGAATACTGGATTTCCAAGTATGTAGTTTATATGATAAAGAGAGTAGTTTCAGAGAAGGAAAAAATAAGGACAATTGAGAGGGGGTATTTCTTTGGATATTTTGGGGCAGAATTGAGCAGATGATTCTTAGTGCTACTCATCAATTGTGAGTGCTGAAATAGAACCAATGAGTTTTATCTTAAGGAAAAAAAATCAACACAATATAAAACCAAAATTCATGTTTCCTGAAAGATAGTGATTAGCTTCTAGCATTCTGGAAGTACATTAAATATGTAAAATTTTAATCTACTTGTTTAAAACAAAACAGACTCAATAGCAAGCGCTTATAATTCCCCTCCAAAAGTATACTCTGTAAGTCTGACTCTAGAGAACTCCACAAGAAATCTCAGTAACAAATCTTCCATTATTAACATGTACCCACATGTCATTGTAGCCACTAGATTTTCCGTGAAAAAAAAATCAGCTGTTTCCAAGCACTGGTGACTCACATCTGTAATCCTTGCAATTTGGTAGGCTGAGGTTGGCAGAATCGCGGTTCATGGCTACTAACCCAGACCCCTTTCCCAACCAGTATTTAGGCACAGTGGCACATGCCTGTCATCTAATATAGGAGGCTGAAATAAAGAGAATCAAGGCTTCAAATTTTAAAGAGTCAGCCCAGGAGTAAGGCTCAAAAGTGGTAGAGTGATTGCCAGGGCCTTGAATTCCCAGCACTTCCTCCCCCACCTCAAAAACAAAACCCAATACTCACAAACTCACTCAATTCTTACTGAATTGGATAAA